TGTTGAAAAAATGTGAACATTCATTCATTTTTTTATTAAAACTTTTTTTCAATTTCATTTGTTTCGTATTATAAAAGGAAATCTAAATCAACATGTATTAATATGATAAAATGCTTAAAATTTCTGATTCCTTGATTTAATTAATTAGATTTGTTTTTGTATAATTTTCAGTTGTTGAAATGATTATTTCATCTTGTAGCGCCCAATGTTTTTGAAAAGAAAGCGAAGAGTTAGGTTGAGTCGAGTTAAGTCGAGTCTTCAACAGGAACCTATAAACATTTGAAGCGTAAATATAATCATCATTGTTATGCATTTTTTTTTCTATTTCTAAGTCTATTCATATTAATCTTTGCCAGTGGAATTATTAGTGCTAATTCATCAATAATGAACATAACTGAATGCGTGTAATTTTGTTTTTGACATGCGATAAAATTGAAATCAATCACGGTTTTATATCAATTTTCTTGAAAATGTTCACATAATCAGAAACAAGTGAAGCTTGAAATATCTATCTTAAATAAATAAAAAAACTTTTTGATTTTTTCCGGTTTTAAATTAGAAATAATGCTTAAATTTTACAGTGTTGCACCGGAAAATCAGGAAGTATGCGGGAAAAACACGGAAGCTCATGGTATCTGATAAAATGAAAATTGATCAATCATAAATTCTTGTTGTTAAAATGAGCCTACTTTAGTTTTTGATATTAAGTAATCGCATTGAAAGAACATACTAGTTTTTAATGCATAAGCTCGAACAGGCATTTAACTGAAACAAGGACCCGATAAAAATTAGGTCATCTTGGAAAATACATTTTGAGTTATGCCGTAGGCTTTTGTTGCTCATGGTTATGAATATTTAAGCAAAGTCACAAAAGTCTCCAGGAAAATGTAAACATTAAAATTCAAATATTTATGACAATTCATTCAAGATGCACTTTTTGAATATTTTTAGTAGTTTATTTGAAAAATGGAATATTGGCTATTTTGCCTGATAATTAAGTATACAAATAGACTGATCGTTATTAAAAAAGGTCGATACAGAAAGTGAAACTTAATTAAAAGAAATCATGAACATCAACATTTTCTATGTATTTTCCTTTTGATCAGTGCCGATAAGGTCAATGTAAGAACGAGAATAAATCTACATAATTGTTGCTTAACAATATGTTACGTGTCTTCAGTTTTCTGAATCCATAGAATCGATTAGAAGCCAAACATATTGATCACATTTATTGGTTAGAAAAGAAACGAAAAGTCCTCCAGTACTCTATCTACTTTTTCACTCTTAGAATTCAACAATAATTTGAAAAGAAGCATGATCTTTGTTTAATTAAACATGAACGCAATTGAAATAAAATAGCTTTGATAATTCTATGAATGGCATTTATTGTAAACATAATAGATGTATTCTAGAAAGAAAAACTTTTATATGAACATGGACTTCATTTGCAAAAACAATACGTTCTTTGTTATTGATATTATTTTGTTTGGAATAGATAAATTTTTGTATGAATAAATGATTAAGAAACATGAAGCTTAGTATAACGATTCATTCATTCGAATCAAACGATATGAAAATATATGTTTGCTTGAGATTCTAGTTTTTCTCTCTTCATCTAGTAGCATCGTGTAAATCATTTTTACTCTACGGTTTATATTCTGTACGTGCAGGATTACAGAAAAAAGAAAATCGCTCCAGGTGGACATTAGAATGAGATGAGGTATTTCATAATGTGCTCTTTCATCAAGCAATAAATAAGATTCATTACTAAAACATGATCTCTACTATTATCGATAGTCATACTGTAATAAACCTTTGGAGAATTGCTGTGTCTCTTTTATAGATTAATACCGAGTAAATAGAAGTCTAATGAAAATAGTTTATGAGGCATTTTTCTCCTCTATTGGTTCAACTCTAAGTGTTTTGCATTAAGCCATTAACAATGTATTATCAATAAACTAAAATTCAGGTTGTTATTGAAATTTTTTTTATTATAATTATTTTTAAGAAAAAGTTTAGTAAGAAATAATAAACAGAATTATTGTTCTTAGTAAGCACTCATAACATAACGGAAGCATTAGTAAACTATGTCTAGTATGAATGTCGTTTGTCGAAAATTGACACATAATAATGATAAATCAAAGTATACCACATATTCGTATGTATTATGTATGCATTAATCTATAAAATATCTTTTGTTTTTTTCCGGCAATAGTTTTTGATACAGCCTGCTACCGAATATCTCATGTGTAAACCATATGCGCATAGTTGAGTGCTTTAGTGTTTTTTGATCGAATACTAACTGTCGTTTAGATGAAAGACATGTAAAAAGATCTTGTGGGATATGTGTATAAAACCTAAATAAACAGTATTTTTGTTAGTTTTAAATTGTCAATAGATGCCAACGATAATAAAATCTTATCGAATACAGTAGGCATTAGAAAAATATTTTTATTACCACGATCAACAATTAAACGTAAAATTTTTAGTGTATAGTGTGTATCAATAATTATAGAACAAGATGTTACATATGTTGTTTTTCCATTGGAAAATTCGATCAGTTTTTTTTTCGTGCAGCTAGTTGATAGTTATCTCGCATGAAAGAAATCGAGTGTATAAGCATTTATCATGATATTGTAAACGATCGTATATTGTTCTATTTATAAATTATTTTCATATCACTGTAAAAAGTTAATTTTATTCGATATAGAAATTGATAAACGATTTCCTTAGGTTTTTGTTTTATAAAGATTAATTCTATCAATCAAAATCAGTCATGTTCTATTGAAGGACAATTAATAAATTTCGATAATTTGAACAGAAATTCTAGATTTAGTTTATATGTGAATAATAATCTAGATAAACTCTTTTGAACATTATTTGATTATATTTGTCAGTTCTATGATACATGAATATTCTAGATTTGATGGAACAACTGTTTTCAAAACAAGGTTACTATTATTACGATTGTGCAGAGTCATAGGATAAGAACAATATTGATATATTCTCCAATTCATTAGCTTGCTTTTCTTTCGTCTCATAGTAACATTACGTTGATTATATAACTTTATGCTTGGCATTGATCTCTGAATATTCTTCTTCTTCTTCATTAAATATTTTCCTTAGACATTTATAATATATCGTTATAGAATTATATATGAGTTTTTTTCTTTATATAAACATACAATTTTCTTTAATGGAAGCGAAATTATTTTTATTAAATAAAAAGAAGATATGAAAGTAAATAGAACAAATTCATTCCACATTCTGACGATTATATTATAGACAATAATTTTGATCATTGTCATAGGTGATGACGTAAATGTCATAGAGAGTCCTGGATGTACAGTCCATGTTGCAACAGCAATAGAGCACGGCAAACAGAGGAGTGTGTTTACATCGGAGATACATACACACATAAATAACAAGATGGAATAATTACTAAGTAAAAAAAAAGTTAAGCTACAGTCACCTACCAGCAATACTCAGATCATGTAAACTCTATACGATAGCCAGCATGATGTTGACACTATTTTGATTCAATTTCAATCCCTATGAAAGAAATCAAAATTTTTCAATTGGAAAAAGATACACGTAAGAATAATATGTTTTTATTTTGTTGTTTAGTATATTGAACAAAATAATCGATCAGAATTCTTTTTACTTCATCATGTCGAACTTTTGTCTTTTCTTTTGTTCTTGTTCTCTGTCTAGTTTCATAGTATAGAGCACAATCAACACAAAGAGCGAGAGAGAGAGAGAGAGAGAGAGAGAGAGGGAGGGAGGGAGAAAAGGACAGAGAGTAGTAGCAGCTTCAGTACAACATAAAGAAATGTAATAATTATTCTCATTCCCTTTAACAACTAGAAATGAAGAGAAAAAGATAATATTGTTGCCTGTGTATATTGATGTTTTTAAGTTTTACATCGAGAACAACACATGCATTTCCAATACCAGACTACCATCTGAAAATGACAGATTTTTCTACTACCCTTTGCCTTTGCGTTTATGCAGCAGACGAAGATATATATTTTTTGCTTTCGAATATTCCATCTTCAAGACACTTTGAAATTAATTAAGTTTCTGTTTTTTTCTTCTCCTCTAATAATCATACTTGACAAGACATCCTGTAGACTCTTGATGTAATTCTATAAAGATCTTTTGCGCGTATATCACGTGTAGTCATTCGTCTGTTTGGTCAAACATATTATCTATTTAGTTTTCCCTGCAGTTTATATGCTTTTTAATTCATGTGAGGCTGATTATTATTATCATCACCATCATATAACAAACACACATTCATCTATATATTTGTCCATAAATGTAACGAGATATAAATGAATGAGGGATGATGAATGATGCTAATTGAATTCAGTTTTTGCTCGTAACCTGTGAATACAACAAGCTTCCTGTTGTGTACATATAAGATTTTCTTCTCTAACATATCTCATCACTTTTGTCATGTTTATTTTAGCTTCTTTTTTCTATCTTCACCAGTCTACTAATCTGCCAGCTTCTTTATATTATAGTTGACAGTAACTATCTAGTTTCTGAGTGAAAAAATAACAAAATCTCGATTAATATTTATCACAGTGCTCGTAGATCGCCTATGTTTATGCTGCATGTATGAATTCAAATCTTAATTTTTCTAACTATTGCGTGTTTGGTATCTTAAAAATGGATATTACATGATAAGTAAAACTTTTAACATACAAGAGCTCTTAAAAATAAAAATAAACTTTTCTAGGCTTCAGAGTGTATTAGCTTTTCTATTTTAAAGGTACTATGAAACATCATAGGAACACAAACAAAAGATCATGACAACTCAAGTAAGGTCTGTAGAAAACAACAAAATTAAGTAGCTATTCTCTTGATAAGTATTCATTAAGTAATAGCTTACATAGTTAAAGTATACTGTAAATGATGCTTATCTGTTGTCTATTGTTTTTGTTCTCTCATAAGCCTTTCTTTTTTTGTTTTCATTATTATTGTAGAATGATATGGCTGACGATAACTTAACATCATTATATATTAACGAGTATCACTCGGGTGATGCTCAAGATGAAACATTAGGTTCACTCATATTTTTTACAATCGTTTATGTACTCGTACTTATATCTGGTTTGATTGGCAATTTTATTGTTCTATATGTTATATTGAAAAATAATGATTTAAAACACTTCACAAATTATTTCTTTGCTAATTTAAGTGCAGCTGACGTATTTGTACTTATATTTTGCATTCCGACTGCTATACATGATATTTGGGCAAAAGATCAATGGTACCTGGGTAAATTTTTTTGTAAGTTATTAAAAAAAGATTTGTTATTATTTTTGTTTTTGAAAAATTTAATTTTTATCTCATTTATGAAGGTTTGAGTAATCAATACATTGAAAGTTGTGCGACAAGTGTCTCTTCATTAACAATAACAGCAATAAGTTTTGAACGTTTTATTGCAATATGTGAACCTTTCAAGGTAAATTGATGTCTGTTTTCTTTTGTTTATTTTCAATGCTTCTATATCATGTTTAGGTTCATGATATATTCAATGAAACTCTAACATTAGTCACTATTTTTTTAATATGGGCTATTGGTCTGATTTTTTCTTTACCATTTTTAATTTTTGCCGTCTACGATTCGTCCTTTAATCCAACTGATTCATTAAATAATACAACTGATCTTCTGACTATTTGTCAATTAAATGCTAATTCAAGCGCTGCACGTGCTTGTATAACATGGTTTATTGTTTTACTTATATTTATCCCATTTTTTGTTCTCATATTTATATATGCACGCATTATACTTGAATTAGCTCGTCATCGTGCAATACGTTTAATAGCTATAGCAAAAACTCGGCAACAGCAACAACAGCAACAATCATATGACGATGAAACAAATAGTTTAAATGATGGTTCATCATCAAATAATGACAATCAACAATCACATTCATTTCTTGCCTATAAACGTTTTGAACAAAAACGTCTCAATACCGTTATTATTTGTGTTGTAACTGTAGCTTTTTTTGCCTGTCAATTTCCTGTACGAGTTATTCAATTGGTTGACATGTATGGACGTGTACGAAACGAAGAAGTTATGTCATATGTAGCATGGATATGGTTATGGAAATTATCAAAATTACTTTTTTTTCTTAATTTTACAGCAAATCCAGTAAGATAAATGAATACTAAACTAGAAAATAAAAGTTTTCATATACTTAACTATTCTCTTTTGTTTTTACAATAGATTATTTATAATATATTATCAACAAAATTTCGTCGTTCGTGCCGACGTCTTTTTCAAATTCATCGTTCACGGCGTCCGGTATCGACTCCATCACGTAAAACAAGTATTACATCATATCTTTATTCAAGTATATATAAAAGTCGTCGCCGACAAAATAGTTTACTTAACAGTTCATTACAAAATTCGCAAAATAAAAATAATATTTATAATCCTTCTCGTCCCATTACTAAAAAATTAAGTTTAACTCGTAGTGTTATTGATTCAAATCAAATGATTTCATTAATGAATAATAATAATAATGGAAAAGAACAAATTAATATCATTGAGAGCGAAAGTCGAGATCTTGTTACCGTTGGAAATAATGAAGAAATTTTATTCCCAACATTAACTAATAATGGAAAACTTTCACAAAAACCATTTCAAGTATTAACAGAAGAAGACGATGAAAATATTGTTCACTAATAATTTTAGTATTCCATATATTTATGTATATACTCGCGTGTCTATAGTTTACTCTGCTGTTCTCTAAATCAAAAGGAAACAAATTAATTATATACTATTTAGTTGAGAATACTACTTTCAGAATTGTATTCATTTTTCTTTTTAGATTTTGCTTGTATTATTTTTTTATTGAAAAAAAATGGTCTCCTTTTCTATAATATAGACTCCCGTTAATTTCGAAATAAGAGAGAAAATTGACTACTTCTTTTTTTTTATATAATCTGAAATCCAGGACAGATGTTTAAAAAGTCAATGTCAAAAACGGTCATCAGTGATTATGTAATTCGTCTTTATTCTCGTAACAACTTGTAGATATCATTAGCAAAATATTAAAAAAGAACATATCTAATTGAATCAGATCATTGTTTTATAGATTTATTAGTTACTTTTTTTTAAACCACAGAAGGAAAAAGAATGATCGTTAACATGTTTTGTATTTTATATGCATTCAAAGGATTGAGATTGGTGTCTAATTGAAAGCAAAACATAACACATCTATACTAAGAATTATGCCAAATCAGCGTAATTTATTTTTGTAAGTGAAAAAATTCTGGTATAATGGGTGGTATGTCTACAGTTTGATCATCTTTTTAATAATAATTGAAATTGAATTGTATAATCAGAAGACATGAGAATTACTAATGTTTTCAGTATGTGCGACAAATAAGATTGAACTTATATGTCTTTGTCTATAGAATGCTGAAGTTCCGTGACGTTATTTTTTATAGTGGAACAATCAATTGTTGTTATGATTCGAAACCTCAAGTTTAGTTCTTTTGCAAAGTCAATCAATCAATTTGACAGTTATTCATGATTATGGATGCATATCATATGTTGAATGTTTGCTTTTTTCTAATTAACTTAGTGAACTAGTTTATCAGTCAGCTCACAGAAGTGCTGCGAGTGCTGATCCTACTTCCATCACATTTTATATCGAATTGCTCCTAGAGTATTAAACATATCCTTTCGACTTTCGAATCACTATCATGAGTATAAATCCGAAAGTTCAATCAAGATTAAGAAAATTGTTCTTTTTCATACGATAATAACTAAAATGTATTTGTGTACTGATAGAGAAAAAAATCTTCTTTAATCCTAAATGAATATACTATATCTATATTGTAGGTTTTCATTGAAAGTCTTAAATAGTTCATGATTATTCGGGTCACCCATGTTTTAATTGACATCTAGTATATACCTTAGTGTTAGATAAACTCGAACCCATCAGTTGATGTGTGCGCGATTAACACACGACTGAATATCGATATAGAAAACAAAGAACAATATTTATGATGACACACACCATCTAGTTACAACTGAATAGATGGATGAAGAGTGTAGAAATGGGTGTGAACATTTTATTCTTCACGACCAAATATCAATGTATCCGTATTATAGGAAAAACGATTGATTGTCTGAATTTGAAAATGTGAGAATTGTTAGAGTGCATGCGTTTCTTGTTAATCTTTGCGTGCTACATAAATTGTAAACACTTAACGGCAAAACATAGACTTAACATAATTCCTATTTTCAGGAACACTATTAATTTCAAAATTTTACAAAATTTTATTAGCTGAAGATTTGACTTTCTTGAATATTTGTTTCTCACATATCTATCGAGTTGATTTGTACAGAGTATTATAAAAATTGTAGAATTAAGTAAAATATAGGTTTTTAGATGTTGGCCAAATCTTCGCTTTAATTGATTTTTCGCAATGTTTCTTTCAATAACAGATCACCAAGAAAAAAATGCAAACAATTATGGTGTTAATCAATATTCTTAATGATAAGTGCAGGAAATATCGATTGAAAAATTATTCGATTAGAAAGTGAACTTATTGAATGATAACAGCTCTATCGATGGACTCATGACAACCCTGAGATATACAATCTAAAAAAGGTGCTATATTGGAATTTTTAGAGTTCTAAACCATGGTCACAGTAATGTGCCATGGACGTGAAATTTATTTAGTCTGATTGGACTTGGTCTCCAATATCGACCACTTTTGTTTCTCTCTTAAAGACAATGAATTTTTTCGATCCTTTTCGGTTTTTCCATTTTTTGTTTAGTTGGTAACGAAAAATTTACCCTTGACTAATTCATAGATGTCATAATACCGTTACACTGGGTATCGTGATTTCCAAGTCATAATACCCATCGAATTCTTTTTGGGGTATTACCCCTAGGGTATCCACTTTTACTTAACTATATGTTTTAAAGTTGAGGAATTTGAGTTGTTTTGGGGTATTACCCTAAACCGTAACAACTTGGATATCCTCGAAGAAATACACAAAAACAACTGGAATTTGCATAAGATGCTCAATTCGAATTTGAATATAATTAATTCATGTACTGCACAGTAACACTTCGGAAAAAATAAAGGCACAGATATTGCTACAGGAAAATGCAAATAATATCATTTTATCGGAATTGATTTTTTAAATAATTTGAATTTAGACATGCATATTACTGAGGCTGAAATGTATGGCATAAATTATGATTCCTAGGAGCATTCCCTGGATTTCTGACAGTGCGTAACATTGGTAGACGGAAGGCTGTCGCTGCTGGCAACAAGCAGGATGCTACTGCATGAATATCTTAGGTTTCTAAAAGAATGCGTGAAATTGCTGAAACCATGTATCAGGTTGCTAAGATTATTCATCGGCTTCCGACACCCTTGCCTCACTTTGCTGCCAGTACGAATGGAGTCCTTCGTGACACAGCACATGTACCGGAACACATACATGAGCTGCTAGATACTTCACACAAGTTACTGCAACTGTGCCTCATCTTGCTACATGTATCCAAACCAACTTTCACAAAAATTAACCTATACACTTCGACGCACTCAATTTCTTGCACCAAACATAGGAATGCATCTAGCAACCTTAGGTATGTTTCTAGGAACCTCAGGATCAGGATTACTCCTAGCAACCTTAAGTGTGCGTCTAGCAACCTCGGGAATTATTTTAACAAACGCAGGTATCCTTGTAGCAGACTCAAAGTCATCAACGGATTCTTCGAAAATCTCGTTGTTATTTTATGTGGAATTAGGCAGCTGCTCCGAATTCCTCAACTTTAAAACATATAGTTATATAAAAGTGGATACCCTAGGGGTAATACACCGAATGTTTATAAAATAAGTTTAGCTGGAGAAAAAGTCGTTACCCGGTGTAACGGGATTATGACATCACTCTAATAATTGAGACAAAACGGGTCTATTTAATAAAACGTTTGTAAAAATCGAAAACTTTTGCCGTAATAGAATTCAGAGTACGCTTGTTACTCAAAAATACTCCTAGTTCATATAGAGAAGTTAGCAGAGTAAAAGAAAAAAAAATCATACAATACTTATCTTGTTCTTCTATCAAGCTTTGACACTTTCTCTAAAAGAAACTTTAAATAGGAAAATATTTCAATTCCATTCTCTAATCCAAAGTTGCCAGAATTGCATGATTATCCTGAAGTACAAATATTTTTTCGTCGCTTTCATTGATTTGATCTGAGTCGGACGCTGGATTACGGTACTAATTATGTTCTGTACTACTTGAAGTTTTCATCAAAACTTGTAAAATTTATCTATATGTTTCACATTATTCAGACTCACATCCTTTCGAATTCGAGAACTTTGAACAAAACCTTGAAATCGTTCAGTAAACCGTGTTAAAATATAATTCTTCAAAATGATGCAACGGAGAATATAAGTTTTCATAGAGTTTAAGTTATTTTGAATATCTACATTATGTATAAATAGACATGCATCCTAGAATATAGGAAAAAAGAGGCTCAAATTTGATATACTATGCATTCAACTTAAATAGGCACCTTTCCATAGAAATATACCATAACATGTAAGAAGAGTAAATAAATTTTTTTTATAAATCATATAATATAAACAGAAAAACAAACTACGAGCGAAACAGTTTTAAATAAAAGTAGCCAATGTCTTGTTGCTTTAGAGTTGGCAATCTTATCTATAGCTTCATATCCGTGATGACAACTCCAGATAGTTCGTATCCAACGGTTGATAAATCAAGAGCATATGGTCGCGCATGAGATTTTATATCATTAATTTTTTGATTTACGATGCGTCTGTACTCAACATCCTTTCGTCTCCATTGTCGTTGGCGAGCAAGAGGCACCAGAAATAGCCAAATAACCATGCATATATGCATCAAAATGTAAAAACTAAAAAAAACAATGAATACAATTCTATCTACCCAAGCATC